TATCCAAGTCATGTTGGTAAGTGGCTTTAAGAGTAATTTGCAGGTAGTGATGTTCCCATATGTTTACTATCCTTGTTCTTCTAGATAGTAGTGGTTGTGGGTTTGGAAGGAACCTTGGTGAATTTATGCAGTGCATCTTGTGGATGGTACACACGTATCAGTGACGGAGGAGTGCATGTTTGTGGATACAATGCCAATCAAATGGGCTGTTTTCTCCCGGATGACGTGGAGCTGTACTCGTGCAGGAAACTGGGGAGTATTCCATCACACTCTTGGTTTGTGTGTTTTAGATGGTGGACAAGCTTTGGGGAGTCAGGTGATTGATAACATGATAATTTTCTACAAATCTGACAAAATGTTATTTCTCTAGACTTTCCTTCCTTTCAAATGCATTATTAGGACAGAATCCAAGTAATGCTACAGTGTATGTCCTTGTGTTTATTTGATATAGAGTGATTGACAACTGCTGACAGAAGTGGGTCATTTCTGCTGGCTGATCAGTTACGTTTTGATTCAGCAAAAGTCCTTCAATTTAAAATATATCATTTTATGTCACTTACATTAATGCCTTGCAGACCAAATTGTATGCAAATAAGTTGGCATACAACAGCTTTTTACTTCCAACATAGTTTAAAACAAAATTAACATTTATGTTCTGTGCTCAGTGCAAACATCCTGACTCTTTACTCAAACTTTCATAAAAAGACAATAAGAAAACACATAAGGTACAGAAATTTTAGTCACTACTCTGCACAATTGATATCCTTAATATTATCAACACAACATTTCTTTAAAAAAATGTGATTTAAAGAGATGCGAAATTTGGTATTTGACAGAGATATAAAGCAGGCAATAATGATTGTTTTTCTTCCTAAGTATTTGTATATTGTTCAAAAAACAAAGAACTGCGGATGCTGGAAATCCCAATTCCATCACAACCAAAACAGAAATTACTGGAGCAAGTAAGCAGGTCTGGCAGCATCTGTGGAGAGAAACTGGAGTCAATGTTTTGGATTCAGTTCTGAAGAAGGGTCACTGGACCCATAACATTGACTCTGCTTTCTCTCCACAGAGGCTGTCAAATGTGCTGAGCTTCTCCTTGTATATGGTTAATGATTTTTACTCGTTAGAAAATGTACAGCATTTTGGGAAAAAAGATTGTGCCTGTATCCTACTGTTTGAAACAAAGTGTGTTTTTGGAGTGTAATTTGGTGGCTGCTTTATCAGCAACTGAAAGATTACTTCATTTACTGATGACATTGGAGTAGAAGAGATTCATAACGGCTTAAGAAATTAATTTGACCTCACATTAACCTTTGTTTTTTCCTTATGTGCTGGTAGGATTTGAATTTAATCTTACAGGGTGTAACAATGAAAAATATGAGCAGGCGCAGAAAGGAGAATTTTTATCCCACTAATTAAAGGGTTACAAATTATGAGGGAATAGAAAAACTACCAGTTAAATTTAAAGCTGCTGTAGAGGATACCTAGCAAAACTATACTTAAATACCTGGTTGTATTGAAGAGCAACATTTTCTTTATTTTGCAAATAACTATTTCATATTACAATTATCTTTGAAGCCATTGTAAAGCAGAACTGTTGAGATCCATACTTGCATGATTTGAAGGACGATGCCAAAATTGGAGGAATATTTTTCTCAGCAATATACCTCAAAGAAGTGATATTGACTTTTGGGTCATTTTTGGGCAGGTTTAGTTTAAGATATTCCTATTCCAAACACGTCATCTCACCATTGCTACATTGGTTCCAGGAAAAATTCATGTTGCAGTAAAATGTGATAAGTGATGCAGTTGTGATATTTTCATAATAAATTATTTTGAAATATATACAATATTTGACAGGCCACACAGCTTCATTGTTCTGATATCGCTGCACCCCTCAGTTTACACCAATTTTATGGGAATAATGTTGATTATTTAAACTGGCATCGCTAATGGCTGAATTGATAACAGTGGCCGGATTTTCCAATGGCTGGATAGTCACTGCTGCAACATTGATGGGAGTTGCAAAATGGAACCCTGAAGAGACCCCGACAGAGCAGACTCAGAGGAAACTGTCCGGGAAATTGAAATTGGTACCCTCCAAAAGCATCGATTTAAATCAGAGTTAACAGTTGCCCAGGGAAAGTAAGAAGATTAAAAACCTAATCTGGCTTGTGGTTGGCTATTAAACAGGCACCCCAACTGCACCTTCCCGCAGACTCTTTTCCACTCCTCAGTCCCTGATCCAACTGTTATTTTCCCTGTTCACTGCTGGATCTGCCACCTTTACATCAGTTGCAAAATTTCCAGCTGTGTGCAATCCCTTTACACATGCATCCTCCAATCAGGATGGCCTCAGGGCTCTCCACTTCTTCCTGGAAAGAAAGTCTGAACCGTCCCCAACCACCACCACCCTCCTCTGCCGGGCCGATGGGTCCTCAGTTTGAACAATTTCTCCTTTAACTCCTCTCACTTTCTTCAAGTCAAAGGGCTGGCCAAGGGTATCCAAATGGGCCCGAGTTATGCCTGTTTCTTTTTATGGTGTATATGGAACATCCCTAGCTCCTGTCTTAATCTGCACCCCCCCGCCAACCCACAACATTGATGATATCATTAGTGCTGCCTCCATCCTTCATCCAGAATTGGAAAAAAATGATCAATTTCGCTTCCAATTTCCAATGTGCCCTCCCTTCCCTTCCTCAACATCCCTGTTTCCATTTCTGGGATAGGCTGGCCACCAATATCCACCACAAACTTCATGACTCCCACAGTTACCTTGACTATACATCTTCACACCCTGCTTCCTGTTAAGACTATTTCATTCTCCCAGATTCTCCATCTCTATCACATCTGTTCTGACAATGCCACCTTCCTCAGGGGGGGCCTCCGAAAAGTCCACCTTTTCCTCAACAGGGTCCTTAACGATGTCTGACACATCTCTCACACTTCTGCCCTCACCGCTTCCCTTCCCTCCCACAATAAATAGGTTTCCCTTGGTCCTCATTTACCATCCCACCAGTCTCCACATCAGACAGATTGTAAGCATCATTTCCATCCCCGCAAACCGGATGCCACAACCAAACACATATTCCCCTCCCTTCCTTTAGCAGCATTCTGCAGAGTCCATTCCCTATTGGACACTCAGGTACACTCCTCGAAGCTTGAAGAACAACATCTAATTTTCCTCCTGGGGACCCTACAGCCTCTAGGGCTCAGCATCGAGTTCAATAACTTCAGAGCCTGATTGTATCCTTCCATGTTTTTTACTCACCCCACACTCGGCCGTGTTATGACACAGGTCGCTTTTAGCACAGTCACCCATTCCCACGTACTCTTAGGCCCACTATCATATTATACTGGGTAGTTTTCAGTCCAACTAACCCATTTTCCCACACTTAGCTCTTATTATCTCTTATTCAGCTTTTCTTCTGTGCTGGCCTGCTATCCATGATCTCCAGTTTACTTAAAACTTTCATATATTTTTCTCTCTGGACTCCATCTCCACCTATCCACTCATCTCGCCCCTTCCCCCTCCCCTACTTTGGCTTCAGCATAAATGCCAGATTTTCCTAGCTACTATCAGTTCTGAAGAAGGGTCACTGGCCTCAAAACGTTAACTCTGTTTATTTCCCACAGACACTGCCAAACCTGCTGAGTTTCTTCAGCAGTTTCTGCTTTTGTACTCATCTCCTGGACTTAACTTATGTACTTACCCTTTGACAGGACCTGGCAAAGTATCTGTCTGTGCTGCTGGACAAATAGATCATAGAATACGGCAACTACACCCATGAAAAAGGAGCCGCAATTTGATTACAAGCCACCAAACCCCTGATTTTCCTGCACATAAACAGCCCTGTTAAATTTAAGGTATGCTCCAAAAATCTGAAGGAGTCATAATCAGAATTTCTGGCTAGAAAAGAAGAGTCTTAAAGGAAAAAAGTGGGAGTGGAGTGGCAATGCAACTGTCAATCTGCTACTCCTTGGAAAATCCAGACCAATTGTGATTTGTAAAAGTCCGTCAACTAAATACATAATCTTAAATCACTTACAGTAATGTCTTGCAGAGTATATTGCATGCAAGTCAGTTGGGCAGACAATGACTTGATGCTTCCAATACCAGTTTCACCTTAGATTAACATTTAGGAATTGTGGTGAAAACAATTATGCTCCCAACACAGTTTCATTTGAATGTAACAATTACGTGCTATGCTCAAAGCAAAACATGCTGCTTATTTACGCAAACTTTTATATGATTTTAATAAGAAAGTACATAATATATGGAAATTTTAGACTACTTCCCCACTCATTGGGAACAAGGCAAGGCTACTAACCTGAAACTTATAAAAATTTAAAAATAATTGTTTCAATTGGTATGTGCTCAATGGCAGGACTAAAGCATGACAGAGGTTGCAAATACAGGGATGTGGCTTGAAATTCAGAGTTAAAGGCAAAGGAAAAGAAAACCTCAGAATGCTGTTCTAACTCTCAACATGTTTTACTGAATAAAATATCTGGTGTGATTCCTATGAGCTGAGACACCATATGATCTCAGATCCTTACAGAGACTCCAGACAAAAGCTCAAATAATGAAGTCCTAAACTTTGATCAGCTATTGCTGACTTTCCCAAAATCATATTGAATTGGATGGCTGAGAATGTTACACCATCACTGCCAATGGACCCTTTGCTAGAGGAAAGCAGACAGCTAAAAGAATAAAGGATGGTAATTTTACTAGTTGGAAACACAGAATGTTATTCGACAGAATTCTGACACTGATGTGGTACACTTGCAAGCAAGCTGCACCAATATTTCTTTTTTGTCTAGATTGTGGGTCATAAGTTAAAAGTCTTGGTCTCAGCTTTGACAAAGTGGGTGGGCTTAAGTAATCGGCTTGTAATACAGGCATGTTGGGTACAGGCACTTATTATACTAGACAACTCAAACCACCTCATCTTTCCAATTATTGGAGATGTTATTTTTATTGCTGGAATACTTACCAAGCATTTGGACCTCTTGTGTAATTCCATAAATGTCAATCAATGCCCAGAGTGGTCCTGAAACATTAATACCACACTGGAAAAGAACAGGGTCTTCATCGTTCACATTGTAAAATACTCGTCCATGCCTGTCCACCCAAAAAGCAAGGACGTTGTCTTTCAGAGCAAACCTTTCAGGTAATGCTTTGGCCCAGTAACCAGGCCTGGTTACCAAATCAGGGCAGGCATACTTTGGGATATCTGCAGAGCTCATCTGAGAGGGATCATGACTTGTAAAACCAAACCGTAAAGCACCACTCCATCCATGAAGTACCACTGATAACCGTAATCGCACTTTTTCATAAAGGTGAACTGGGCGGTTGCTGAACGTTACACCATTACAGAAACTGTTCTTCCGAGTGGCTTTTCTGAAATGTGAGTCCAGACGAACATTTTTCCCTTTGGCCTGCGAATGAAATCTAGGAGGTTCAGCAATGTTTGGATGTGCTCTCCGTTCATGACCATTAGTTGGAACGGTGTAGTACTGACGAGCAGATCCAGAGCGGGTCTGGTGAGCTGCATCTGTAAAGTTAAAATTGAATAGTGTTAAAAATGCTGTCAGATTTTACTTCAATGTAATGAATGTATTCTATCATGACAGTAAATTGTTTATCAATAGTAGTTTCTATGAAACTGAACATTGTAACTAGTTTGACAATGTTAATCCATTTCCAATTTGTTTTATCACTGTTGATTCTTAAATATTTGCTACCTGGTCTTTGATACCTTCACAAATCCTCTCCCAGCACAAGTGTAGGATGATGAATGTCTCCAAGTCTTCATTGAATATTGATGCTGTTCTACAACTACTCTGTGCGTACTACTATTCAAACTTGAAGTAGTAACATCATTTTCCATAAAAGTTATATAAGCTGGTCTGCTGTCATGCTTAAAAATTGCTTGGCCAATACAGGCAGGGAGTTCCTCTGAATATTTAACAGCTCTGGCACTCAAGCCCTTGATTAATAGCCAAACACCAGATCTTCAAGCTCACCTTACTGAATGGCTCATTTTAGAAAGAACTATTTTGCTGGTCAAATGTCTCATGTAAATTGCTCTTGGCTCAGAATGAAGGGATTTCTATCTAGTGCGACGACTGCAATGGATAAGTTAACAACATAAACAGGTCAGACTTGTGCTTAGAATTGTCAAGGTATCGAGCACCTGAATAAAACTAGGCACTGAACGTTAAATGTTGAAACATGTTTGCATCATATTTTTAAGGAAAAAGTGACAATCATTTTGTTTTACTTAGTTAACAGTTGCAATGACAATCATAACAAAGTGTTTAATATTTGTGTTTTCTGCCTTATCTATCAGATACTTGCAAAGTCAAACAACAGTAGAAAGATTTAAAAGTATGACATATTTAAGGAATTTAATAACAAGATTAGGAATTCTCACAAAGCACATGCCCAAACCTGGTTCAATTTGTAAAATGCCAAATGGGAGACAAGCTTCATTTTCTTACACATTCACAAACATCAATGACTTGTGCATTAAACAGACTGTTTACTGGAGAATCTCCAGAATTGTTAAAATACAAATTATAATTCTAAAATAGGCTACTATCATAGCATCCTCAGTGCTGATTTATTGCAATGCTTTAGATAATATTGGAAGTTCTACTCTCCTTGTTTTTGGCCCTTTATGGATTACTACAGACATCCAAAGTAGAGAGTCACCCTGAAAAACAACGCTTGAGACAGTCAGAAGGGATGGATTTCACTGTAAACGAATCATTATTTGGGTGATTTGAATATACCAAATAGACAATGGATAAAGGTACTTCAGATGCAAAATTAAATTTGAAATCATTACAAGACTGAGGGAGTCCGATTTGGGATGAGGAACAGAATGGCTAATCCTAATCTGAATCGACTTTATCATCAACCTCTAATATACCATGCACAAAAATAAATACACCTCATTTGCATAAGTGAGCTCTGTAGGGTAAAAAAAGTAAGAATTCATCAGCCAGACACCTATTGTAAAATAATTAAGGTATCAATCTTTACAGAACTTTCTTAACATTTTCAATCTGCCTTCTTCTAAATTCCACATGCAGTGAATCTTTAGAATTGTCTACCCTAATGGGCTGTGGAAGCTCAGACTAAGATTGATACATATTTGCGAAGCAGAAATATGGAATTTGGAGATTGTGCAGGAAATGGTGTTGAAGTGGAAGATCCACCATGATCCCCTTGAATAGCAGAGTGCACTCAAAAGTCTGAATAGCCTATTGCTGCTCCTCTTTACGTTCTTACGTATATTTTAGAAGTCAATAAAGTGTTGAGCAACATTAAAAATAATTCTTTATGCAACTTTCAGAAATCAAACTTTAGTGAACTGTTAAATGAAAAATCTAACTAGTACATGTTTAGAAATTTGAGAGCAACAATAAAGAATACAAAAAAAAATAGCATGTCAGCTTTCACTCAGCATTGAAGATCTAATATCTTTACTCTAGATTGGTCAGAAGCCTCAGCAAGTGACCAATTTGATGACTAATAATTCATGGGATTCCTTTCAGGCACTGACTGACTCATAAATAACATTATTTAAAACAGCACTCAGATAGAGGTGCTCAGATCTTTGGAACGTATGCACCAAATGGATTTGCTTGTGTGAAGCGAACCACCAAACAGGAATTTCCAAATTTAAGCATCTCACGTCCTATGAAGGAGAAGGCATGCAGCCTGGGGAAGCTTCTGTAACATATTGAGATAAATATCATATTGCTTGCACTTCCAACCTTCCTTCCTGCAGATTCCCGATTAAGGGAAAGATGATGAAGAGGAAGATAAAGGCAGGAAAGCTGAAACCACAGAGGCAGCAGTGCAAACAGATGAGTGTGGTTATGAGTTATTGTGGATTAGGTGATAAAGTTCCTTCATTGCTTCTTTGAAGAAGCAAATGCATCTTTGCACAAAGCTCCTCTGTAATATTCTCAATTGATCTGTTTGGCCGTAGAGTCAAAGGTTGGAGGTTGAGTATCTGGTGGACTGCATCCTCTTTAAATGCTGCCTGACTATCCTTTGCCCCATTCTGTACTTCTCCTGCTCCATGTTATTGCTCACAAGTGTATTCCCACCATACATCCTCAGGAGAAGCCCTTACCTGAGGTAGGAGGGTGGGTAAAACTGCCACAAACAAAAACAGAAATTGCTGGAAAAGCTCAGCAGATCTGGCAGCTTTTGTGAAGATAAATCAGAGTTAACATTTTGGGTCCAGTGACCCTCAGAACAGTTCTGCGAAAGGGTCACCAGACCCAAAACATTAACTCTGATTTCTCTTCGCAGATGCTGCCTGACCTGCTGTGTTTGGCCAGTAATTTCTGTTTTTGTTTATGATTTACAGCACCCGCAGTTTTTTTCGGTTTTTATTAGGTAAAATTGCCAGTTTGTTTTCATCCTTTCCGAAGCAGTAAGAAGGTCCAGGTGTGCATGGATAGATAGTTTTTGCTCCAGTTTTTTTAAAAAAATACCATTTTCAGGAATCACTAATTAAACTCTTCAGGCTTAGATGCTCCTCATTTCTATCTGCATCAGGAGATTCTGGTAAGACCTATGTCTTATAAATCTGAATTTAAGTTACAACAAATGCAGTACAAACATAATGCAGCCAAGATGGAGATGCAGCACTATTGACCATTTATTTCAATCTATTTGCTATGCTTTATGATTATGAGCAAAGGGAGCCTAAATAAACCATACATTCCCTTGAAGCATTCAATAAGATCTTGACTGATCTCATCTTGGCCACAACTCCACCTCCTGTCCAAATCCCATATCCCTCAACACCCCTGTAGATAAAAAAAACTGTCCAACTGTGATCCAGCCCAGTGCACTCTGAATCAATTTGCTTGCTGCACTGCATAATTCCTCTAAGACTGCCACATGTCAGTGCGTGCACGCATTTTAAGAGGAATTTTCCTTTGCATAGGCTATTTGCAGCTGATGCAACCTTTTCCCAATTGCCTCACATCCACACAGATTAGAAGGAATAATCTCAGATCTCGACTGATGATAAGGCAAGGCCCAAAAAATGCAAGTGATTTAAAGGTGGATAACTGGCAGAAACCACTTCTTGATTTCGCTGCCACCAATAACAATGGGGACCAAAAGGTGGAAGAATTCACCTTTGATATATTTATTTTTAGGAGAAAGGTTATTTTGCAATTCAACCCCAGGTAGCACTGCACCCAAGTATGACGTAATAACAAGTAAATACAGCAAAAAAAAGGACCCATTTATGGTGTCAGTTGTATTATGTTACAAATGCTTTGAAGAGAGTTTACATCTCCGCAAAACCTGTATCATTTTTCACATTCTGGGAAAGTTTATGAAGCTATTATAACTTATATATAACCATTATAACCTGCAGGATTTACAGACTGTGGAGCTGTCACATTGCTTAAAAAGTTATAAGTCACTGTCCTAGCCAGAGATTCTATAAAGTAAATTGCCCATTTATTGCATGTGGTACATTAGCTTATTGTATAGTGATAAACTGCTACTGTTATAATGTAATTTGGACCAAGGTGATTGCTGATAACAAATATCTGTTTGGAGTGTGCAGATGCTTATAACACCTTCTTTGACATTCATGAAGAAGCTCATTTGGTTATTAAAACTCCATATCACAAAAGCTTATACCAAAAATTTTTAAAAATAACTTAACATTGTTCATCTATTTTGCTAAAAGTATGTTCTTTGTAAGTTAACACAGACAAAACACACACATTCCAAAGTAATGGAAAATAAGGTGAGGAAAAATATGATTGAATGCAATTTTTTAAAAGGTTCTGGCACATGTCCAGGGAACATTTTGATTTGGAAATCAATCATTAATTGTGAACCAGATGCATAAAATACGAAAAGGATGTTAGCATTATAGTCAAGGTTTTCATCATCCCATAATTTAACTGCAGTACACCAGTGCATAATTTTCTACAACTTGTCTTTTTTTAAGCAAGTGTTAGGATTTCCTCAAAGTTACTGACATCCATTAGTTTAACAATAAAGCAGCTGACAAATGTATAGAATTATTTCTGGAATTGCAGGGAATTTGCGCACCTACTCATAAATAAATGGCCCTGTGAAATAGACACTTGACCATTTATTTTGTGCTAAAAACTATATTACATTACTTTGCTAGTTTTCTATTAGAAATAGATTAAAACTTTTTTTTTTAAACTTAAAAAAAGGGATTACCACAAAAGAAAACGTTGTTACGTATACTCAGCTTGTTCTTATAAATGACTGCAGATGTCAATAAAGAATTTGTTCCGTATTTTCCATCTAAAAAAAAGCTTTGACAATCATTTGCTTCCTTTATAAACTGCTGATATATTTACCAAGGTCATTGCAAACAAGTTATTCAATTCAATGAAATAATCCATTTCCAATAAGTTTTGAAGGCTTTTTGAGTATGGTATCTCTGCAATCCCATGGCTATATTAACCCAAACAGTGAACCATGTTGCTATGAACAGTTAGCAGCACGATAACATAGAATGTG